CCTTCTCATACTAGTGTTTTCGCGGCATTCTCCCATGTAGGTATGTTTCATGTTAAAGGGCCTCGTCGAAAAACTGAATCCATGGGCGATTTTGTATACTACGACAAACCAACATGCGCTTAGAGCTATATTGTGCATCAAAATAAAGCACATTTTAACGCAGTTTCAGTCGTGAATTTTCCCTAATTAGGTAGATGAACAGTCTCTCCCTGAGACCTGTTTAATTAGTAGTCGTCTGTGCAAGAATGATGTCACGAAGAGGTCGGAGGTGAGCTCAACGGGAATATTCGGTTCAAAGGTCAATGGAGCGCAAACAAAACATATACCATTATGTCATTAATTATTTCGAGTATATTTGTTAAGATTGCGATTACATAAGACAAGTTATCACGCACCATACAAGGTCTGGAAACACACTGCATATTATGCTTGAAACTTATCAGACTTGTATCTGTTTCACACCATCACATAACGTAAAGAGATTGGTTTTAACTGATCTATGGTGCTCCAGTCAATCCCCGTCACATTAATCAGTTTTAATGAACATGGGCGACGACTCAGTACAGACGACCGGATGTGCCGTGCAGTAAAACATGCATAATGATGGTCACAACAGTCATCAGTCATGCATCCCTTTTCGCTGCGTACGATGTGGCACGTTTGAAAACCTTTCGACGATAGAAAAAAAATGAATATTATATCGTACTCACATCTACGTAGTCAATATTATATCATTTCATTTCATCCAATATCATATCATATCATATCATTTCATATCATTTTATATCATACCTTATCATATCATATATTCTCCAAATTGCTTTTAATCGGCTGCCATACATGCCGAAGTATGAACAGTTGCTACCCCGTCTTCTCATATCATATCTTATCATTTCATATCATATCATTTTATATCATACCTTATCATATCATATCATATCATATCATATCATATCATATCCTATATTCTCCAAACTGCTTTTAATCGGCTGCCATACATGCCGAAGTATGAACAGTTGCTACCCCGTCTTCTCAAGGTGAATAGCTCCATGTTTTTGTGTTCAAACCTATATATCACATGTATGTATATTTATATATATTGTTTTTGTTATGTACGTAACATGGTAGGCATTAGAGTGTTACTACGTTCGTGTTCCATTGTCAATTTGACAGAAACTGATAGTGTAATAGTCTGTTTTCTCTGGCTATTACAGCTCGGATCAGATGTTAGAACGGTTTATTGTTCCCACGCCAGTACCGCACATCGCTCAGTTTATTGCCATGTTTATAATGTAAAACAAATAAACGTGGTGTACTTTTACATGCTCGGAAGCCAGCAGTTAAACGCATAAGGCACAACAATTTGCTCTGTGTATTTATGTAACGCAGCGGAACCCGTCTGTTATGCCTCACCAATGGACCTTGGACGTAAATGGCCGCCGGAATCTCGCTGAATGCGAGAACCACGAGATTTGTTCTTGTTCCTTTAAATAGTGTAATTCTGTCTCATCATCGAATTCGATGTTCCATAAACCAAGGTTATATGCAGACATGTTTGAAAATCATATTTCGAAAATGTTTTTATTTTGTGAAAAAATTTACTTTGGCGTTCGTGGGTTTCTAACCGTAATATCTCTCGCATCTACTGCCCGTCTAACCTACAACATTTTTTACATATTGTGTTTAGATTGCTACCGAAAATTGGCCGCAGAATAAATACAACATATAGAGTATAAAATCGCCATGTATCATGCAGTTTTTTACATTCTTACGTCGTAGCATAGTGAATATGTCTCACTTTTATTCCCAAATAAGCTTACACTGTACTATACATTGTTGGCCAGGGGAACATTGAGGGCAATGAAAGACGATTAGAAACCTTCATACGCCAACGCTAACTATTCCCACGTTTTACAATGCATTCTTATAATATTTTCTATATTTTTTTTCCAAACATGTTGATTCCAAAGTTACCGTCTATGTGAAATCAACAAAGTAACTATAGAGAAATAAATATAAATGTTTAAAAGTTGGAACAAAATATTGCAGTATAAAACAATCCAGCGGACTATTTTCCCATGATTTCACAAAGTATATGTATAATCCACGACTGTTAGAACATTGATTTATTCGTCACGGTGGCATATGTAACAACAAATGGACATCATTATTATCTTTTATTACAAACAAAAACGAAACGCCGTATGACTATTTTCAAGACGTGTTCATAGTACGTTATTGCTCATTCAATTGTGGATAACCGGAGATGATTGCAGATATACTCGATGATATGTTAGTCTTTGTGTTAGTTTGGTAGTCATAACATAATACGTTTCTACACGAAAAATACTAAAATAAAAACGCAGAAGGAAGTTCAGCTGATATTCAATTTAAAGGACGTTTTTCTTTTCTTGCAAACAACTTTCCGGGCCCACGTCGCGAATACGCAGATCATCCTTGCTCCGGCAAATGTCGTGTATTCGAGTTATTCGCGATGTATTGCAACAATGTTACTAATCTTAAATGAATGTGCGACATTCCACTTTTATTGCGCTGAAACTAAAACTAAAATTACATAAATACCACTAAGCGGGAGTGAAGATTAGCTAATAAATTGCCACGTTTACAACATATCAGCAGGTTAGCTGCAACGTTTATTTTCTTTTGGCAGGCTCACATATTCGTTGATCTATTAAATCTTGTTTATCTGACTTACAGCTGCCTTTGGGTTACATACAACTAGTCGGTGGTCTGTTGATACCGGCATTTGAAGTGTGGCTCCCCCACTGTTTTAGGTCAATTTGACCTGCCCAGTTGAGAAAACACAATATTCTCCAAGACCGCAAATTTAAGTTTATCTAAAATCCTTGCGATTGACCAGATTTTTTACAGTGTAGAAATGAGAGTTGTTTTATTATTGACCCAGAGTTCAATAGACTACTAACAGCTATTGAGTGTAAACAGTATGTGGACAATTTAGTTGGTGGATGAATACGTTTTTCGAATGACGAGATCGTTCGACTTCATCGTCATTTCCAGTCGATCATTACGTATTTAACGTTTTATGGAAAAAAAACTTTCACCGTTTCGCACGCTGTCGAGAAGCTACTAGTGATTCATTCTTCTTGCAAGTAAAACCCTCTTAATAGCTCACCGGGGGGCTTTTGGTCGTAGCTACTTCAGAACGCACCATTGAAACTTACGAAGTTCAACTTCCTCCCATTTGTCCCGGGAACACTGTCGTCGCCTTTTTTTCCATGCATCGCGGCCAGACTTAATGAAAAAAATATCAGCATTCTTAATTGTAATTAAATAGTCTGAATTAGTTCACGATAATGTTTCAATGATTCCGGCAATCATAGCTGTCCACTCGGCCTATATGAACCTCTTTCAACACACCACTTTGCACACAATAGCCACAACGTGAAATCTATACGTTAAGCGAAATCGTAGACATGGCGTTGCAATGTATCCAACTTTTGTGTGTTTGTCACCCACTTTGTGTGTTTGTATTGGTTTAGTAAGGGATACAAGACATTAGCTTAAATAGAACACCCACAATGTACGAACCGTACGGTTGCAGTCTGATCATACAACGATGCAGGTTGTTTGGCCCAATTTGAGTTTACATGTATTCAGGTAGGCTTAAATACAAATCACTTGTATCATTTCATCCTTTCTTGGTTTACCACCATGATCAGTGTATGGTCGAGATATCCTATCTCAAAGCCCAAAGTTGTTTGTCAATTAGAGTAAATGACAGGTAACACCAACAGTTTTAGTAACGTTGGCGAACAATGAAAAACAATTGTCCGATTTTACGACATTTATATTATGCTTTCATTTTGTGCTGTTTTCTTTTCACAAAACCCATATATAAAAATAATGTTAACTAACTTCTTTTCGGATAACGTCCATGAAAATGAAGACATGTGAGTAGGTTCATATTGCCTTTTATCGTGGTAAAAAAGGATTCATAGAAACTATTTTCTTCCAGTAAAACATGCAGTTATAATAACATTATACTATTGTTAGTCGTGAATTATTAACAATTACTAATAAGTAATATTTTGACGGTCTTGCTAGAAAAATACCTTATACTAGGAAAAGAACGCAGGAGCGTATGGTATTTGTCTGAATTAATAATTATGTAAATACCTTTAAAATAAAATACAATATCGCCCATATTAAATAATTTAAAACCAAATATAGAACGATGTTAGTATATTTACATGTTTTGAAATCTCAAATATTGTAGTTGAGGTATTCCAGTATTTTAATTAAATGTGCTGTCCGCTGTTGACGCATATTTCATATATAACCATTGCAAGATAACAATAAACATACTAATTAACATACTAATTAACATAGTTCTTGAACATACTGATTGCATTTGTTGTCAGTATACGACTTGAACCAAGTGACCATACAACCTATTGATTTTGTTTATAGAATGTGGGCTTCACTTGACCGAATGACATATTCTATAACTATAGGTAAAAATGTTTTTCAAGATCACTATATCAATGACCGCTTTTTTTTTGTTCCGTCAAAGACGCGCAAGCGAATTAACACAACAATTTACGACTCAGTAAAAAAGTGTGCGTCGGTGGCGCGCCGTGTCGTCTTCGAGGACATTGTGATCAGGGTGTGTCTTTCCTATAATCGTGAACTTTAAATAACAACTTGAATACTAGCAAACTATCATTGTATAACAGGGTCCCAAGTGTATACTAGTATTAACTATATATCATCATTATTGAACGGGTTCCCAAAAGTGTAAATGAATGCAGGGTACTCCCAAGCAGACAGAGAGTGCTAGACGGTATGAACTACTGTAAACTTTGTCTTTAGCTAGCATGTTATTTTAGCTAATCTGTAATTTCGCTAAATTCAAAATGTCACTAATTCAAAATAAATTATATTCTCACAATGAGATTGTTGACACTTTAGCTAAATTAAGATTCAGTTAATTTATGCATGGAGTCAAATTCGCTAAAATGGCGTGTAGGTATTACACTATTTATAATCATTATGAAGGTATATAAACTATGTAAAATCATTATTAGAGAGGGTCACCAAAAAGTATATGACAAATGTATTAATCCTGTTATAACCGAATTGTATTAATCTCTTTAATTTTTTAATAAACGCATGACTATTAAATACCTACAGTTGATACACATATATTTATTTGTTTATTTACAGAACTTTGCTGTTGATGCTTTCATTTGCTGGTACAATATTGTGCTTAGAATCGACGGATCTCAATAACGACAACGGTAATTTGTATATTCAATGTGTTCTGTGAAACGTGTGCACAGTCAATGCTACTGTAAAATAACTTATTTCAGCTGGAATTAATTTTTTTTCTGAAAATATCGATTGTCACTGATTTTTGACGAGTTGAATGTAAAATATAAGAAGGTATATTCGCTGGATTTTATTTTCACTGAATCATTCCTTCAGCGAAAATAGCTAAAATAAATTCAAAGGAAAATAAAGTATTTGACAGTAATATGTGCACACCAGCATGGTGCTATCACGTGCATATTCTGTGCCCACACAATTTATTGTACTGTAATAGACGATATGGCTAACGGTGCAGTGGTATGAATTGTGGATCTGAATTCAGGTGGAGACATCAAATATAAATGATGACGTCATCATGATGCTCAGATTAAGTAAACGTGATTGGTTGCACCTATATAACTTGCCAAATAAAGAAGGCTAGACATTCTCGGCGTCACTCGACGTGGAGTGCCTAAAAGTGTGAGTATAGCCCAGACATGTAAAATACTAGTAACACGTTGGTAAGACTAGATAGGAAAAGGCACACTGTGACTTATTTAAGGTTTGACAAAACAAATTCGACATATCAAAAACAAACTTGAAATACTGAAAATAAATCGCTGTTCTGATGATTCAACTTGAACTGTGGACCATCCTGAGCTTAAATGACAAATTTCTCCCATACCAAATTTCTTTATTCTTGTCATTTTGTGAAATTTTGAACTGTTTATATCTTATATGCTAGTGTTATCAAAATAGTGATATTTGTACTACATCGCCACTACCAGTCATTGAAAAATTAACATAATTATACTCTATATTTATTTATTATTATTATTATTATAACGAACATCGCGAATCGTGTAACAATTGTGACGTCCTTGTTTGCAACCTTCCAAAGAATGCGGTCATCTCGTTTAATATCGTTATGTGTCAGAGCTGCTTTAACAATATAGATGCCTGACGAAAGCTGACTACTTGCCTCAATCGACCTCCTGACCTGTGAAATATTATCACGTAACTGTACAGCCGCGAAACACGAAACAACTAATTAAACTTTCTGACGCAATAGACTTTACACGCTAATGATCATGACCACCGAGATCTCGTTGAGAGAGAGAGAGAATCACGAGACTTTTTTTTATCCTACAAATTTTATTTCCCGTCGACTGCGTGCACTATCGCGAGCAGTGAGCGCAATGGCGGGAGGGGTGGGGTGTATAACACTATTTGAGGGGCAGAAATACAAATCACGTGACTCTCTCGTCCCAACGTGATTTCGGCGTCCATTGGCGGCTAATATCTATTGGTACAGCATTATAAGCATTCTGATAATCGTGTTTTCAAAATATAGATATTAATATCAAGAACAAATTGCGGATAAAACATTGAAACATGCAAAGAAGAGTACAGGTGTAAATTTTAATTTAATTACAACAACATAAAACAGTGACCGCCGTTTTTTATTTGATTTTAGTTAATGGTGTCACATACTAGCCCAAAGTCACTAGATATTCGGAGGAAATTGACATAGAGTCCCGGTGTAGTGCATTCCTTCTAAAACTAGGAACGGGAATGCGCAACAACCATTGACGAAACATCTGGTACCTATAGTGAAAAATCGATTCCTAACAATCAATATAATCTATAGTTACCATGGATGCGCGCACGCCGAGTACACGTAGTCACAAATGCATTTGCTATAGCTTGTATCGCAAATAGTATTAGTGCTACCCACAAGGCTTTGCGAACACGCACCATATTAGTATCTTTTCTGATGACACAATCGGGAAAACAATAAGACAAACAAATCAAGGAGTCATAGAAGGAGAAATTATAAAATCAAGGCAACCCATATTAATGTGTTAATTCTTTATTTTGCATTTAGATTTTAATACTTCATGTCAATATGGCGACTGTGACAACGGCAACATTCCAATAGATACAGGTGATTCTGGAGATACGGAGAGAGACAATAGTACCATCACTGTGGTAACGGAAATATTGGTTGAAAGTCTATCTGAAGAAGAGTTTTACGAGCTGTTTTTGGAGCTTTGGGAAGATGGGCTCATCAAAGGAGAGAAAGGAGACCCCGGTCCACCAGTAAGTCCAAAATATTGGCTAGGGTGAATGACCTTGACATGAAATTCCCATGGCTGTTCCTATGTCACTCTGATTAAAAAAAGACGTGTTACACGAGTTTGTGTGCCGTCTGACTGACTAGTTCCCATTATATTTTTCGTTCGCAAGATTTTTTTCGGAGTAAATTACTCATCCCATCAGAGAACGAATATACCTACAGCGCAACTTGAATACGGCGCTTTGGTGTTTAACATGGACGTTCGAAATTGGGAGATTTGTACAACTAATAAAAGCTGAATCAAAATGAGAAAAATATACAAATAGAAAGATCTTATATTAATCAGATTCTACTTGTGCAAATTATCATTAAGATTTTGCACTAACTAACCCTATCATGTCTGATATATTGTGTTGGGTACACCCATAACAAATGACGGATTCTTGCGATATATCATACGTTCTGCCTGTTGTCATTATTGCACCACTTCCTGTTATCCATCGTGTCTAATAATATCGTGTGTTGTACGAGATGTCACGAAGTGTGTAATACAACATAGTGTGTGCAATATATCGTACGCAGGGTATGATGTCAGTTGTCGTAATAGTACTGCCTGTCATGTCTTAAGTCATGCGGGATATCCTGTTTGTGTCGGCACGTGGAATTCCACTATGACCTTTTAAATATTCAAACGTATATTTGGACTTATTGTATGCCCTGACCCTGCCCCTGCTACCTTGGTTGCAATCGCCTTATATGTTCAGAACATACTTATGTCTGGCATTTAAGTAGGACCGTGACCGACCTTTATTTTTTGTGGCATGCTGGAGTTAAATTAATTTTTAATTACCCACCACCACCACGTAATGTATGTCATTTCTAGTGTCAGACAACTAGTCAGCTGTACAGCTATCACATTCTCGGGGCATCATCGTGGATTCTTTTCTGAAATATATTGTTGCCATGGAAGTAAGTTCCATTTTACTGTTTTCATTTCTATCAATCTCTTACTTTTACAGGGATACCCTGGAGTACCAGGTCTTCCAGGAAAACGTGGCAAACGTGGCGCAAAGGTAAATAAAACATAAATTAGAAAGAACACTTC